TTGTCATACTGGGCTTTCATCTGGTTGGCAGCTTTCTCAAGTGATCGCTTGGCTGCAGCATGGATCTCTTGCATTTTGGAAATGAACATGGTTGAGGCTGGGGTATGGAAGGGTGTTTGAGATTTGGCTCCTGGTAGGATATGGGTGTTATAGCTGTAGTTGACCTCAAAAGGACTCTTGCCGGTAGTGGAGTGGCTGTGATTATTGTGGGCAAAGGTGGCGAGAGATAGCCATTCTACCCAGTTGTTCTGGAGATGGTTGACAAAGATTTGAAGGTATTTTTCAACCTCCTGATTGACTCGTTCTGTCTGTCCATCTGTCTGGGGGTGGAATGCAGTTAACGTGTTCACCTTGATTTGGAGCAAGTCGTAGAGGTCTTTCATGAACTTGGAGATGAATACTGTGCCTCGGTCAGAGATGACCACTTGTGGCATTCCGTGTTTGGCATATACTTCATTGCATAGGATTTTGGCCTACCCTTCTGATGACAGTTCTGTAGAACACGCAATAGGGATTATTTCCTTTGAAAAGCAGTTGACGATCATGAGTATAGCATCGTAGCCTTTGCACATTGGTAATCCAGTGACTATGTTGACAGAAATGTGGGTCCATGGTTGGGAGGGGATAGTGTTGGGATGAAGTGGTGCCGCTTTTGCTTGGGTGCTTGATTTGGTTCGTTGACATGTCTTGCAAACACAGATGTAGGCCTCGATGTCCTTTTTCATCTTGGGCCACCAGTACTCTCATAGCATGAGTTCTTTGGTTTTTTCGATGCCTGGGTGTCCTGCCATAATGTGATCATGAGATCTCGCAATGATCTCTCCTCGTAGTGCATGATCTTGGGAAATATAGATTCGGCTATCATAGTAGATTAGTCCGTTTTCTATCTTCATTTCTTGGTCATGGTTGAGGGATCTGGAGATGTTCTTGTCCCAAATGGTGGTTGGCTGTGGTGTGTTTGATCTTGGTTTGTATCTCTTCTATGGTGGGCATGATCATCGCCCGGAAGTGCTCAGGTTTGAGGACTACAATTTCATTGTTATCATCCTTGCCCTGTTCGTGATCTGCCCTTCGACTCAGCAGGTCAGCTTTCTTGTTGGCTGTGCCTGGTTTGTGGTGAAGAGAGAAGTGATATTCAGCTAGTTCAGTTACCCAATGTGCTTGTCATCGGTTCAGCTTTTGGGGTTTTCAGAAGTACTGGAGATTCTGATGATCTGTTCAGATTTTGAAATCCTGAGCTGCTCCCATCAGGTAGTGCCTCCATTTGTCAAGGGCAAGCATGATCGTGAGTAGTTCTTTGTCGTAAATTTCTTAGTTTCATTCCATAACTGTGAGGGCCTTGGAGAGGAAGGCAACTAGACACCATTTTCCATCCTGTTCTTGTGACAGAACAGCGCCTATTGCTCCCTCACTAGTGTCTGCCTTGACGCGGAACCTGCCCTCCTCCATTGGTATTGCCAATACCACCTCTTCAGCTAATAACCTTTTTAATTCATTGAAGGCGCCTTGTTGCGCTGCTCCCCACTTCCATGGGTCGTTCCCTGTCAGTTGTGTCATGGGTTTGACAACTTTACTGTATCCTTTGATGAACTGTTGATAGAAGTTGGTGAATCCAAGGAATGACTGCAATTGCTGTTTCTTGATTGGTACTGGCCATTCTGCGATTCCCTGAATTTTGACTGAGTCCATACAGATGCTTCCTTCGCTGATGATGACCCCTAAGTACTCTATTTCCAGGACTTCAAACTCACATTTCTCTGCTTTAAGGAATAGCCTATTCTGTCGCAAGACTTTAAGAACTTTGCAGGTGATGTGGCAATGTTCTTCTTTGGTCTCGGACATAATGAAGATGTCGTCAAGATAAATGGTTATGGCCCCTGATGCAATGAGGTTTTTGAAAATGTCATTCATCATCCATTGAAAGGTGGTGGGTGAATTGGTAAGCCCAAAGAACATGACAGTGGGTTCAAACAACCCTCTGTTAGTTCTAAATGCTGCCTTCCACTCGTCGCTGTCCTTGATGCATACATTGTTATATCCCCATCAAACATCAAGTGTAAGGGACTACACCCTAACCATCTACTATCTAAAATCATATCTACTGTTTGGCATCGGCTTCGCCAACACCCTTATATACCATGCATAGCATTAGTAATCAGTAGTCTTTATCTTGTACACAACATGTAGTTGATCAATATACATTGGTCTAAGTTATGTCGTGTACCGCAAGATTAAGTACCCCTTACACTTTTTTAACTTTTCCAACTATATTCAGCAACTACCTTCTCCTCCCATACTCACTTTCCCGGAAATTTCGTCTTTCCATACTTGACACATCACCAGCAAATGATGATGAAAACACGAAAGAACAAGAAGGGAACGGGCAACATCAAGACGACAGTGCCACGAGATAGAGGAGAAGATGAGGCCCCGAGGATTGACCTCACTGCGAGGCAAGGGAAGGAGCCCTCAGAAGCGAAGAAGCCTGGCCTTACGTTCAAGGTCAATCTGGCCACCGACTCCGACTGCATATGGGAAGGTGAAGTGGTGGGAGATGGTGAGGTGGATGGCAAATACTCAGTGGAAGATTCACTAGAGGATACCATACTGTATGACCTTGATGTGATTCTTAATTCTAGGCAACCATCTATTGACTGATGTATGGAGGAGGCACCGACCTCACCCAAATCACTGTATGAAGAAGGTTACGTACCGATGCCAGTGGAGGTCTTCCGCCCCAACCCAGCATTCGACAGCGTTCAAAATCTGTCCTCAAACCGGAAGACACCCACTCCCTCAGACAGCTACAACTGGAGGAAGCCAGGATCAACACCAAAGTGCACGACAGTGGTAGACGCTGACAACTCTGACGAATCATACAAGGAGATGGATGATGATAACCCCATGGATACAGCGACATGCGCACAGGAGACAGCCGCCACCACTGCATCACGAGCAGGATCCCCAATCACCGTCCAACCGATGGCCATGAGGAGTCCCAAGGTCGAAGGGACCGGACATGAAAATTCAGATGATGACAGGAAACCCAGTTATGGGGTAACTGAATATGACAAAACCATGGCTGACACAGATGCAGCAGAGGTGAAAGCGGCTATGGAGGAATTCATCAAGGACCCAGTCAGGGTGCGGGAAGCAATGAAAGAACAACTGGTGGCAATGGCATATGCACAGAGGGTTGTACTGAGACAAGTGGCACATGCCCAGGCCACACGGGTATTTGAACGCCTGAGGTTTGTCAATATCGATAAGGAATCGAATGAGTATATTAGACAATACAACAATGAAATGCTAATGGCACTACTGGGACGTGATATACGCTTAACAGAGGAAGCAGTGAGAAGAGACAGAGCTGCGCTAGGGTACCAGAAACCGATGGTGCTATCATTTGAGGAGCAACGCGTGAAGATAGAGGAACAATTGGCCAAAGGGAAGTTACCAATGACAGAGACGCCGGTGGACGAGGATCAGCCATCACTGATACCCATACGTGAACAAAAGAAACGCAACCCACGAGCAGCGAATCCTAAGCCCACCGAAGAGGAAGGAGAAGGCACAGCGACTTCTATGAAGGAACAACCGTCTGGATGTAAAATACCAGACAATATCCGTGAACTGCAAAACAGAGTTGTGCTCCAGAGGATACACCTTAGCCAGATTAGGGACAGGATAGAGCCTACAGTCCAAGACCAAGGGATTGTGTTCAACAATAATAATAATGCATGGGTATGCCCAGATGGCGATCAGAAGAAGGAGAACCACGACAAAGGATGAAATGACAAGGACAAGAACCAATGGCGGGACCAGGCCGACAATAACCAGGACTACCATGGAAGAGGTTGCGAGGATGGTGATCCAAGCAATCACAACAGCTCGGGTGACAAGAGTGGCGACAATTGCCATTGTAGAGACCTGTTTACGCCATGCCCACCCTCTCGAAGGGTATCTGCAGCGCCATCAGCATGGTACACCAAAGCAAAGGTATGACATACTGAACGGAAGTACCAACAAATCGTAGAGTTCGTACGAAAGAACCTGGGCAATGTCATATCAATACCAGATGGGGTCAAGGGAACGCAGTTCAACCCAAAGATGATAAATAAATATGACGGCATGGCATCCCGGAAAGTATTCTGGGAGTGGCTCAGAAGCATGGTATATGGTTATAGGATCACCCAGCTTGGAGGCCAGGAGAGGGACGAGGAGAGATTGTTTATTCTAGACTCACTCCTGGATGGCAAAGCGAAGCAGTGGTTTCAGTATAGACTTGACCGGTACGACAAGAGCACACCGATGTTCCTTGAGATGATAATTGACATATACAACCGCTTCATACATGATTCTGCACTGCAGGATGCCAGGCAGGCATTTAAAGATGCGAAGTGGGAGGATGCCGATGAATTGGTTGAAGGGTGGAAGGACCTCATCAAATAGTTGGTGGATGATATGGACATCCAACTGGATGAATACTTGATCAAGAGCAAATTCATGGAGGGACTCCCAAGGCATATCCAGACACGGATATTCATGGACAAGATGTCAGTCGAGTACAACAACTTAGAGGAACTCTACCAGGCTGGGTTGGACATGGAATACACTCTGCGAGCAGAATGGAGATTCATGAAATCTGCAAAAGCCTACAAGAGCGTGGATAACTGTGCACCACAAAAAAACTTTGGAAATCAAGGTACAGAAGACAAACAACTTTGGAATCAGGAGATGGTTTCAGCCATCACAGCCTCATCAAGTCGTACCCAACCAGGTGAAGGTACAGGACAGGCCACCACCTGCAGAGAAAAGGGTGGCGCCAGCGCCTAGACCTATGAAGCCCAGAATCCGCCTTGGCTGCTAGATTTCTACTTAAATAATGTCAGTTGACACATAGTGAAAAGACAATATGAGTGTCAGTTGTAAATATTCAATTTCTCAGGATTATATGATATATTAGTCAGCAGCTCAACTCATGACATCATTAGAAAATCCGGCCGATCTGGGAATTGAACTCAGGATCTTAAAAAGATATTTTATAATATCACATGACTTTTCTAAACAGACATGCTAACCACTGTACCATACTAGCATTATATATTCATGTAATTTTCTCTCTATAGGGCCTTTCTCTCTTATATTTATAATATCTCAATTGAGCACTCCCTTTGGTGTGCTTTTTTTTCCTTATTGGGCTGGTCAAATTGGCCCATCAATTGCACCTAGAATTGGCCTTCTCATGGTATTGATGGCATCAATATCAGGCTATTTTTGGACAAAATTCACATTTTGGCTCATTTTGGGCTTCCTCATGCTACTGAGTGGGTCAGGGGATGGTACTAGTATATGCCTAAACATAAATAGCATAGAAGTGAACCCTCTGGTGAGGTATGGGGGCCCTGGGGAGGGGGTAAAATAGGTAAAATAGTGGAAAATCACTGAAAAGTTATGTTTTGGGGGTACTACGTGCATTGGATTGCTTTGAAAACTTGACCAATGAATTCCCTGACCTTAAAAACCCCCAAACGCTGTCTGCATAAATCATGTCCTAGTAAAAATTATACCCATGGATGATTGGTGAGTCTTATGTTTTTTGGGTCCAGGATTCTGAATCTGATAGTCCCCAGGCCATAGGATGACCAGAACATTGAAATCTAGAGGGTGCTCTTTTTCATTGAACACCCCAGGAACACATTTAAAATCTTTGAAATCTGTGTTAAAAAAAGTGATAGTGAAAATATACGAAATACCATATAGCTCGTATTTCTGAATGTTGGAGAGAGTGATTCTGGTATAGAATACACTATATATATTGTATAATAGTGTGTACAAAAGATTAGGATGATTTGAAATGTATTGGCAGAGATATAAGAAAATCTTTCTGAAAATGAAAAAGAGCACCCTCTAGATTTCAATGTTCTGGTCATCCTATGGCCTGGGGACTATCAGATTCAGAATCCTGGACCCAAAAAACATAAGACTCACCAATCATCCATGGGTATAATTTTTACTAAGACATGATTTATGCAGACAGTGTTTGGGGGTTTTTAAGGTCAGGGAATTCATTGGTCAAGTTTTCAAAGCAATCCAATGCACGTAGTACTCCCAAAACATAACTTTTCAGTGATTTTCCACTATTTTACCTATTTTACCCCCTCCCCAGGGCCCCCATACCTCACCAGAGGGTTCACTTCTATGCTATTTATGTTTAGGCATATACTAGTACCATCCCCTGACCCACTCAGTAGCATGAGGAAGCCCAAAATGAGCCAAAATGTGAATTTTGTCTAAAAATAGCCTGATATTGATGCCATCAATACCATGAGAAGGCCAATTCTAGGTGCAATTGATGGGCCAATTTGACCAGCCCAATAAGGAAAAAAAAGCACACCAAAGGGAGTGCTCAATTGAGATATTATAAATATAAGAGAGAAAGGCCCTATAGAGAGAAAATTACATGAATATATAATGCTAGTATGGTACAGTGGTTAGCATGTCTGCTTAGAAAAGTCATGTGATATTATAAAATATCTTTTTAAGATCCTGAGTTCAATTTCCTGGTCCGCCAGATTTTCTAATGATGTCATGAGTTGAGCTGCTGACTAATATACCATATAATCCTGAGAAATTGAATATTTACAACTGACACTCATATTGTCTTTTCACTATGTGTCAACTGACATTATTTAAGTAGAAATCTAGCAGCCAGGGCTGGTCATTCCACTTGGGATATCAGTATCAAGATCTGGCATTCTGGTCCTCGTAGTTGCTGTCGTGACGAGGGACGTACCAATACTCATCACAGAGGTGGACCCACCAGTCTTGAGCAGGTCTATCAAGGTGGGACATCAGGAACACTACCATCAATGCTGGGTGATTGAGGTAGTACATGCGGAACACCTCGAAGTAGGTGAGGCAGTCCCCGACGAATCATTCGATGTCATCGTGCTCTCCTTTGAAGAGAGCGGGGGTGCGCATTAGGATCGGTTTGATTCCTGACATTGGTGGTGGCTCATCAATAGGCCATGCACCCATGGGTCTGTGCGTGGGCGGTCCTTCGTAGTTTGGTGGTCTCGGTATGGAGAATTGGTCACGGGGCAGCCCTCTTCAGGGTTGTGTTATAATTTATTCATTTCTTTACCTAAGCATCTCTTATCTTATCTTCGGCGCTTATCTTATCTTATCTTCAGATCTGCAACTCCACGGACAATGTCATAAATCTTCACATCATTACACCGTCATACTTACTCCACGTGTGTTTTATCTTGCTCACTGTGTATTTTGCTTATTCACTTTCTAACACGGTGTATCCATTATTAGACCCTCATTCTAGTATATAAGTAGTGTACTCAAAGCTGTATATTCCTTAGCTTTGAGCTAACATTTAATCATACCGAAATACTCTCATTCTCGCTAAGCACTAAAGCCTTAGTCTTGATGTCTTAACTTCATGGGACTTAGCAGTGACGGTACGAATGCGATACCGCTGACTATTTACCTTTGCTGAGACATCAGGTCTAACAATTAGCTCAAAGCTTTTTTCTAGCTCTCTAATCAAGAGCATCCATGGAGAACGACGACGCTAGCATTGTAGCCATCACACTAGGAATACCTAGCGCCACTCTCCTCTCCATTATTCTCATTCTTGCCATCAGGTTCTGCTATACAGTCATCACCCGGTCCGTTGTACAGGCAAATTTCTGGGGGATTTCAAAGCCTCCCTCATTTGCCTTTCATCCAGAAAAGTATGTCATAATGTCAATGATATATTTAAGAGTGTACATTATGAGTTTGGGGTGATTCAATAATGATTTGATAGTGTGGTGAATATTTTCGATGAAAGTCCAAATTTACCGGTTACCGGGACCTCTGTACACCGGTTTCCGTGTGCCAAATTTGGGCGACCTTTTCCCGTTTTGGATGAATTTCTCACAGCTCTGGAGAGCGGTTCTGGCTTGTTTTGCCTATAGCACCACAAGGAGTAGTCTCTGGCCCATGGTTCCGCAGGAGAAGTATGTCCTTATAGTCATTAAAACAATTTCAGATACCAATTTATGCTACCCAGTACCTTCACTCTTGTCTAATCCTGTATTTGTGTTTTTCCAAAATTCATATCAGTCACTATTGATTTTTTCCTGACCGATACAAGCCTCCTTGACTTCATTTTTTTTTGTGATATGATGGCCTATATTGTACTCTGTAAGATAAAAATAAAATCAGAACCATAATACAGCAGAAAGAGATGCTATATTTAAATGTATAAAGGAATAGTGGTGTACAAAAGACCGGGTGATGACTGTAGAGCCTGGCAACAAAGAGTAACACCTCACGTTGCCCCCACCGTCTCTACTACCCCTACCCTTACCAACAATGTCGATGCCATTCCGCTCGAGCAGCAGTCACCCCGAATCCTCACACCCATACCACACTGACCGATCCCAATCAACGAGCTCGCTAGGCCAAGAGTTGACGAAGAGGAGGTCATTCCTGAGTCGACTTCTCCTGTCATCCCGGAAAGAAGGGCTCCTTCCCCTCCCGGAAGGCGCATGTTTGTCCACCTCGCCATTCCTCCCTCTCCTGAGTATGCCCAGTACATCCCTTGAACTCTCTCACCCGGCACGTACGCCCGATTTGCCGCCCGTGTCGGGGGATTTGATGTGGGCCGAGACATTAGACCCGTCGCCCCCACCACCAATTACAATACTTGGGCAGATAGGTATCCCACTCCACCACCCGCAGCCAGTATTCCCTCAGAGGAGTTCTGGGACAACGTCGACATTCCCTACAATGCTTACTTTCCCTCCAACCGTGCCTCACCCGGCCATCGTACCCCTCCCCCAGCGGGATATAGAAATGTCAGAACATGGGACCAACCCATACAGAACTGGGAGCTCACACTCAAGCCTGTACGAGTGAAAGAACCCGTTGCCAGCTCCTCCACCCACCTCTACCCCCCAACACGCAGCAGTTGGCAAAACGTCAGGTCCCCGCACCGTTCCTCCTGGGAAACTCACTGGGAGCGACTCGCCCGGCACCTCAGAGAACAGCCATGCGAGTCAAGTGCCTCAGAGACCATCGTCGAGTCACAGCATCCACCTCCCCGTCCTCCCACTCCATTCCCGTCAACCGTCACCATCGATGGGATACTACAGCCGACCACCGAGTCGTTGCATGAGCACACGCCCTCCAACTCCAGGGCCCCCAGTAATGACTCTACCTGATGCCATTAGGTTCTACGAGGAGATGATTGATGACCTAAGCATAGGTATACCGGATATTCTCAGACAGTCAGACTATCAAAGTATTTGTACATGTTTTGCCTATGAACTTCCTTTTACTCCAACTTGGGGACAAACCCAAGCCGGAAACGATTATTTTATGAGAAAACAGAGAGGACTCCCAGCCGACAACATACTCCAATATGAAGCAGAGCAAAGCGCCTGCTTCCTATGGAATGACATACACTGAGATGCCTCCATGGAGGAACTTTCCCCTTACAAAGAAGCTGCACCCAAAATCGAGATCCAGGAACCAATGCCAGACGAACCGCCAGCATCGCCTCCCCGGGTATCAGCGGGAACCTTCTCCTATGTCAGGGGACAGGCACCACCAGGAACGTACCAACCCAGTTATCTACCATTTGCCGGTGGCAGTCACGGAGCCGGTGGAGGCAGAGGTGGCGGCGCACAACCACCGCAACCTCCTGCCCCACCAGCACTGCCAGTAAGATACATGCTCCCACTCCATCCCACACCACCACCTCTCCCAGACCCGCCAGTACCCTGGCAACTAGTCGATGGAGCCGTCGCCCCCTATGACGATTTTAAACTAAAGATCGTAAAGGAAGTCGACGACTTCAAAGGTGATTCTACCGACATCACTCAATTCTTCTTGAAGTGCGAATTGCACTTCGAGATATTCAATCAACACTTCCGCCACCACCCTCACAAAGTTGTCTTCTGCATCTCACAACTTGCAGAGGACACTGAGAAGTGGTGGGAGTTAAACACACAGGTCTTAGGGAAGGACCAAGCGACTGGAGCCCAGCTCTATCCGTCTTACGAAGATTTCAAGATGGAGCTTGGCAAAAGGT